GTTCATTTAAAATTTTATTTTTCTTCTCTATAGTTTTTTTTTAAAGGAGAAAAAGGAGAAGGTGAAAAATTTTCAGTCAACTTTAGTCTTTATTTTAATTCATGCTCTGTCTTTCCTTGATGATATATGTCCACCTTGGTTTAACCTATTTTGTAGGTATTTAGTTGCATATAAATGAAGCTTTTATATGCAACTTTTTGGGTTTGGCACATTTTATTTTATTTTATTTTTGAAAGAATTCAGATTTATTGAATGAGAGGCATTGCTTATGATTTACAAAGCAATTAAAATAACTCACTGAAGGGGTAGCATTTAGTGAATTAAATAATACAGTCGTTTTTGGATCTGTAAATGGTGTACATTTGATTAAAAAAACTGTTTGCATTAGGTCACCATAAAGATTTCTACAACGACCAAATGTAGAGAAAAACAAAAAAGTATGTTTCTCTGTGATCCCAACAGAGGTGCCCTTTTCCTGATCATAAGAGAACCAAATATTTTTAGAAGTTAAAGCTATTAAGTTTACAGAACTACAAAACACCAAAAATGCTTTAAGCAAAAACTCTAGGAAAAAAATAGGTTTTCTCATTTTCTGTTCTTGGAATTTTAATTTTTTCCAGTAGAACCAAATCCTCCTGAACCCCTTTCAGTGATATCCAAAACTTGATCTTCCTCTATTTCTGGATAAAAAATCCATTCACAAATGAGCTGTGCAATTCGATCACCCTTTTTGACTTCAAACTTTTCTTTGCCGAAATTAAACAGTACAACACCAACATTTCCTCTGTAATCTTCATCTGTGACACCAGCTCCTACATCTATGAAGTGTTTTGCAGCCAAGCCAGAACGTGGGGCTACTCTTCCATAACGCCCAGAGGGAAGAGCTATCTGAGTGTCAGTGTTCACAAGGGCTTTCTCCATAGGTGGTACTGTATAATCATAGGCACTGGCGCAGCGCCACCCACTGCCATGACTCCCCAGGTTCTAATCTTTGGGTTCCCCAGAGCAGCGGAACTGCATCACGTTGCCGGTGACAGTCACTGCCCGGGTTTGGCACATTTTAAAAGCTGCTTTAACTGATACTGAATATTTGGACTCTCCCTTTCCTCTGGTCCCTTGCCAAGACATGTTCCAACATGTTGCAGAGGTTTTCCTTGACGTGCTCTTGGAATCTTAAATCTATTACTTAATCTTGGTAATTCCCCCAGCCCTGCATTTGTCTTCCAGAGTGGTGTTCTTGAGCACTATCCAAGAGAGGAGGAGATACTGAAGAACTATCTGCTCTCCATTGGGGAGATAATGATTGTAAATTTGACTTTCAGCTAAAACAATTTACTTGTTATCATCAGTGTAGAGGTTGGAGCATGCCTGAACCTGTTTCTGTTTCAGTCTTTACCTGAAGGAAGCATAGATGGTTCTTACTCTAAATTCTCTTCAGTTTTTTGCCGGATCTGAACTAGAAAGTGATTAGGAGGGTTTCAAGAACCTCAGCATGGGTATATTGCATTTATGTAGGGTGGTCTGATATATGTGTCCTTTTTACTTCTGCTGGCTGCTTTTTTGTAAATCCTCAAGAGAGAATTCTCTATTTTAGAGGAGATTTTATAATTTTTTTCCTTTTAGATTTATCAACAGACTGCAGCTTCTTCACTGCCAAAATGACATCATTTTCCACCTCTGCCCAGTGTTCAACATCTAACAGTGCTTGTAGGATCTCTTCAGAGCAAATCAATCAGGTAAATTATCTTTGGCCATTCCTATTTTTCTTTTGGGTTTCTAAACAATTGAATTGGGGCATGTAGCTGACTTCACTGACTATAGGATTTTATACACAGCAGAAAGGATTATTTTTAAAAAAGTCGTATTAAGGAAACTAGTCAATAGTAGCAATACTCATAAATTGAATTGATCGTTGATTAATAAGTATATGGAGGTTACAGATTGCTCAAAGTAGTACATTTTGAAAATAAGTATGTTTTAGGGCTAGTGGAGAATTTGGGGCCATGTTATATATTTGTTTTCTGTCTCTCACTTCATTGTAACTAGTTTTTCTTTAAAAATTAATTTTAAATTGTAAATATAGCAAATGTATTCTTATAAAAAATTCAAACTTTATCTATAGATAGACTCCTTTGATCATCTGCTCCCTTCTTCCCCCAAAGTCCCTTCCCCCTAAGGTACCACTATTAGCAATTTGGTGTGTCTTGTTTCAGACCTTTTTCCTCTAACATATAAAAGTACATAATTTTGTGTTTTCATAAACATTGCACAATATATAGTATTATGTGCCTTAATATCTGATAAAGGGTTGAATTTGGATTTGATAGGGGGAAATGTGGCTTATATAATAAATGGTTTTGACATAATTGACCATCTCTGAACAGAAACAAATGAAGACTTCAAACGTTGTACAAAAACAAATTCTGGGTAAAGATTTAAATGTAAAAGGTGAAATGATAAATATTTGAAGAAAATTTAGGGAATATTTGTGAAACTTTAGAATGAGGGGGGCCTTAAAGAAGACAAAACGGAGAAGGCTGTAGGAGGAAGAGAGAAACAAATTTGACCATATAAAATTTTAAAAATAAAATAGTGTGGCTAAAGAAAGACTCTACAACCATAGTCAAGAGATGGCAAACAAAATCTCTGTCCCTTATATGTATATACCACATCTTGTTTATCCTTTTATCTGTCAGTGGAATTTGGGTTGTTTCCGTCTTTGGCTATAGTGAATAATGCTGGTATGAACACTGGTGTGCAAATACTTGTTTGAGTCCCTGCTTTCAGTTCTTTTGGATTTATACCTAGGAGTGGAACTGCTGGGTCACATAGTAATTCTATGTTTAACTTTTTGAGGAACTGCCAAACTGTTTTCCACAGCAGCTGCACCATTTTGTATTCCTATCAGCAGTGCGCAAGGGTTCCAATTTCTCCATATCCTCACCAACACTTGTTATTTTCTTTTTTCCTTTTATTATAGCCATCTTAGTTGGTGTCAATGTGCTATCTTGTGAAAATGCAATTTTTCAGGAAGGTAACAAGTAGTAGTCTGATCATCTGTAGTTATTTTATGCATTGGAAGACTGTATGTTATTAGATGATAAGTATTTGCCAGGGTTTGTTAAAAAAAATGTTTAAAGAGGTTCTCGTTCCCTAGGGTTTCAGAAAACCAATCTAATTGAAATATAAATAGCAGGTTTACTTTATGTTTATGTCAGGTACGACCAAAACTGCCACTTCTGAAGATTTTGCAGGCAGCAGGTGCACAAGGTGAAATGTTCACTGTTAAAGAGGTAAGCCATCAAAGAAAATTCTCAGTGTTAAGAACAGCTGAGAAGTAGAAGCTGGTGAATGTGTAATCCTGAAATCAGACCTAAGAAAGGAAGTTCTACTCCTGAGGTACTGCAGAGGCAACTTTTGCTCTATTTTAAAGAGCCAGGTTGAACTTCATATTTCCTTTAAATTTCCTTTTGAAGTGTGTTGTCAGCTAAACATAAGATTAACCATGAATTCATTGACCTCAGAGTTAAAATGCAAAACATGTACAAGATTAAAAAAATGACACTCTCTGTGATTTACAGGATATGCTGCCAGGCAGGAATTAAATGCAGTAGTTTTTCATTATAATGTGTCAGATAGTCTTCTGAGCCCTGTGAGTCATTTTAAACACTTATGCATTTAAATAACTTATTTAGCTTCTTAAGTTTTTTTTTTTTCTTTTTTTTTTTAACAAAAACAAATTGAATTCTTTAAGTGGAAAAGACTCAATATTAAAATGTTAATCTCTTCGAACTGCTTGCATTTAGTATGGTAAAGATCTAACCCTTTCTAAACAGAGGAAACAAAATTATTAAACTTTTTTTGACTTTTCTTAAAAGCTTAACACCTATCAGCAGCACTGTACTCCTGAGCCGTTATCCCTCTCAAGGAAACAAATCTGGAGGCATTTTGGATTTTCTAGAATACTCATATTTCCTTTATCATTTTAAATCCAGTGTGTAATTTTGGACTATATCTCTAAATAAGACTTTTTTCCAAACTGTCATTAAAGTGTGGATTTTTATATCTGTAAAGTTGTTATAATGAATTATCCTATCTCCTTCAGTAGCATGGCAGAGTTTGCTTGGGTTAAGAGGAATTTAAGTACATATTGTTCAGGGAGAATGTTTTACTGGGGAAGAAGTTGGACAGAGTTTACATGATAAGCTCTCTATTATGAATTGTGACCCTACCTGGTGCATAAAGAGGAATTTTCTAATTTTTTATTTTTAAATATTGGTTCTAGTATATGTATTGAGGCAGTATGGTATAATGAGAATAGAAGTATTATATACAAGTTAAGAGTAGTGTTTTAGAAGATCTTATTTTGTATACTTAGAGTGGATTTATTGTTTCTGAAAAAGTTGGACAGACATAAATATAAAACTTCCTTTTTTTTCTTCCAGTAGATGCTCTTCCTCATCTTATTTTCCGCTAGATATTTGATTAGATATGAGAGCTTTGTTAATACTGGCGCATGTTGCCTGAGATGGAGGGAAGCCTAGGAGCATCATTACTCCAATATAATGGGAACAGTGTTAGAAAAATCTTCTGTGCAAATATCTAATAATTCCTGAGAAGTTGGGGCCTGAAGATAAAGATAGCTGCTTTGATCTGCTTAAGTTTGTGAATCATGAACTTGTTCATGTTCCCCTCCATTTTGTGAACTCTGTGAAAGAAGCCAGATAGACTAAATTTTTATTTGATAAATACTTAGATTCTGAGTTGCATGCACTGATAATGATGATGGCTTATTAGACATTGTACTTCATTTGTCGAATTAAGTGAACACACATCAAAAGCTTATAGTAGTTATGCACCCTGGACTTGGAAAATACCTTTATGACCCAGGCAAATTTTTTTTTTTTTTTTTGTGAGGAAGATCAGCCCTGAGCTAACATCAACCAATCCACCTCCTTTTTTGCTGAGGAAGACTGGCCCTGAGCTAACATCTGTGCCCATCTTCCTCCGCTTTATGTGGGACGCCACCACAGCATGGCTTAACACGCGGTGCCTCGGTGCGCGCCCAGGATCCAAACCCAGGCCACCAGCAGCGGAGTGTGAGCACTTAACTGCTACGCCACAGGGCCGGCCCCATGACCCAGGCAAATTTAAAGTTTGTTACTTCTAGTAATAGAATAGACCCCTTTATTTAGATTGGTGAGAAAACTTTTAAGGGGATACTAGGTAGATTCACCACTTTTTCTCACTGTCAGACTGGTACACTTCTGTTCTGAAAAGTAAGAGTCTGTTAATGTCCAGAATGACACTGAGTGGATGACCCTAGTTGGGGGCAACTGTTGTGTTGTAGAACCCCTTACACAGACATGGACAGTTGTGTTCATGAATATGTTATCTCTTATTCCAACAAACTAACTTACTTTATCTCCTAATTAATTTCTGTGTTTTTGGCAGCAGCTGGACAGATCTCTTCATGGTATTTTATTCCCATGCAGGTCATGCACTATCTAGGCCAGTATATAATGGTGAAGCAGCTTTATGATCAGCAGGAGCAGCATATGGTATATTGTGGTGGAGATCTTTTAGGAGAACTACTAGGACGTCAGAGCTTCTCTGTGAAAGATCCAAGGTAAAAAGAGTGAGGGTTTGTTTATCTTTTAGGGTGCTTACACCTCACCACTTGATCTCCGTAGGTTATTAATGGTTATTTATTCCGTTAGCAACAGATATTTAAGGGCCTTGATGTGTCAAGTGGCCTGTGAGGCACTGAGAACATAGTAGTGAGCAACACAGTCTCTGATTGTATGGAGCTTAAAGAGTAGTAGATGCTCTTCCCCATCTCATTCAGATTATCAAACCACTACATGGTAAAATTATACTACAGTAAACATGACAGAAAAGAGGTACAAGAAGCTGTGTTGGGGGCTGGGATTTAGGGTCTTAGGAGTCAAGGAAAGGTTCCTTGAGGAAGTGATATTTGAGCTGAGAGCTGAAGGATAATGAAAGAGTCAATTAGAGGGGGCTGTTTAAAGGAGAGCTTCTGGCAGATTGAACCTCATGTGTAAAGGCCTGGTAGGAGGGAGCTTGATGTGGCTAGGTTAGAATTTTGTGAAACAGTTGTTATAGAGACAGACAAAGTGAGCTGATGAGAGAAATGTAGAATTGCTGGGCAGTTTGAGGTGGATGAAGAGCTTCATAAGAATCACAGTAGAGCTACTCTGACCTGTTGTGTGACTTTCTCCAGGTGCATGGGTTGTATGGTTATTATATAGTCAAAGGCCAGTTAGTAATTGAGAAGCCAGTGTTCTTTTTCTCTCTATAGCTTTATGATGACTATTTCTTCTGAGCTCATTTTGTCTTATTTCCACCCCCCCACTCCCCAATTAAAGTGTAAAACTTCACTCCTAAAAGGGAGGAATAGTCTCCAAAGGAAATCTCCCCTCTTAGGTTACTGTTAACTAATGAACTTAGTTTTTTGATGGGGGCAGAGTAACACAAGGGCTTGGGTATTAACGTCTTGATATTTAAATAATTTAAAAAAAATCTATTTTGGGGAAAGAATTCTGCCTCTCCATATGTTATAAAGTTGGGAGATAGCATATCAGAAATACACTTAACATTTTAATGGAGAATTGTGGGGTTAACTTTTTATTTTATATCTTTGACAGCCCTCTCTATGATATGCTAAGAAAGAATCTTGTCACTTTAGCCACTGCTTCTACAGGTATGTAACGTCATATTTCTTCAGTCTGTATCACAGCTTTGAGTTCAAGGGGGCAAATGATGGGAAAACAAGGAGGATCAAGATGGAAATGGAATGCTATCTTGGCATGACTTAGAGGGATACCTGTCACACAGAATTTTATTACTATGTTATTTAACTTTTCATTGTGAAAATTTCAAATATACTGAAAATAGAGAGGTTGGTGTAATTAATGCCCACTTCTTAGGCGTAGTAATTGTTAACATTTTGCCATATTTGCTTCATCTAGACATACTTTTAAAATGTAACAGATAAGGACTTTTTTCCTTTAAACATAACTACAATAATTTACACTCAACAAAGTTAATAATAATAAAATAAATAATAACTCCATAATACTGTCCAATAGCCAGTTTATGTATAGTTATCCCCAGTTATCTCAGAAATATCTTTTACATTTGGCTTGTTCAAATCAAGATCCAAAGTCCACACATTGCATTTACTTGATATGTCTCTTAAGTATCTTTAATCCATAAAACTTAACCCTCCTTTTGTTTTTATGTCATTTATTTGTTGAAGAAATGGATCATTTGTCCTGTAGAATTTCCCACATTCTAGAGTTTGTACATTGTATCCTTGTGATGTTGTTTAATGTGTTTCTCTACCTCTTCTATTTTGGGGAAACTAATAGTGCTTAAATAAATTCAAGTTTAAATTTTTTGCCAAGAAGGTTTCTTAGGTGGTGCTTTGTACATCTGTTGCATCACATCAGAGTCATGTAAGATCTGCCCGTGCCTATTTAATGATGTTAAGATTCTGTGGGTTCAGGTGGTGTCACCTTGATCCATCTGTTAGAAAGGTCCCCCAAGAACCTTTCACCTAATGGTTTTAGCTTTCTGTTATTTGAATGCCAATTTGTCTAAGCCTTTGCTTGATTCCATACCTTTTAAATACTGCCTTTTGAGTTTATTAGATCTGTACAGGAAACTGGCTGATTTGCGGCGTGAAGTGTGGTGTGTTAGAGATAAGTGAATAAACTGGATACAAGTGAAATGTAACCCTATCTCTCACTCGTTTCCAAATAATGAAACTTTGTTCTTTGTCCATTCCTACATGAAGCCCTTTTGTGAGCTTCAAATTAGATTTTTGGTAACACTGTCCCTTAAAGAAAACCCAAGTTTGTAATATCTTTAGATTGGGTAACTTTCATTAGTTTACTGAAACAAATAGCTTGGAAAAAATCCATTCCTAATAAAAATTTATGCTTTACAGTAACAACAAAGACTTTGCTTTCATACTGAAATGTGATTTTGTATTTAGATTGAATTTTGAAGTCTGTTGGTTTCATTGAGCCATTTGCCCACTTCACTCAGTTGTACATTTCTGTTTGAGAGAGAAGGCCTTGCAAATGATACAGTGCTTTATTGAAATTCAGTCACTTGTGAAATAGTATGGCTTTCCTGGGATGGTCACTAAAGGCTTGAGATATATGGAGGATTTTATATTTGCTGATCTACTCTTCCAGTAAAATTTGTTTTCTGATTGGTCTGTTCTCTGAATATCTAGAGTAGGTATAATTCTCATTTTTTCTTGCTCTCATTTTCATCCTTGCACTTCCTCTGTAGAATTTAACATGTCATATATTAAAATAAACATTTCCGTGACAAACATTTCAGTTGATCCTCACAACAACCTTGTGAGGAAGGTCTGGAGGTGAAGAAACTGAGGTGTTTTTAATAGAATGAGTGATTTGTCCAAGATTACATGCCACTGATAAGTGGCAGAGCAGATATTTCTGACCAGCCAGTCCTTGCTCTTTTCATTGTGCCACACTTGCTATCTCCTTGACCCTTGTTTGTAACAGAATTTACAAATTAATTTTTTTTTTAATAATTTTTATTTATTTATTTATTTTCCCCCAAAGCCCCAGTAGATAGTTGTATGTCATAGCTGCACATCCTTCTAGTTGCTGTATGTGGGACGCGGCCTCAGCAAGGCCGGAGAAGCAGTGCGTCGGTGCGCGCCTGGGATCCGAACCCGGGCTGCCAGCAGTGGAGCGTGCGCACTTAACCGCTAAGCCACGGGGCCGGCCCACAAATTAATTTCTTTAACATATTTTTTTTTCTGAACATTAAATCTTTAAAGCATTTTGTTTGTTCTTTAACTTGTCACTTTGAAGTAATTTCACTTAGGAAAAAGTTGCACAAATATTAAAAAGAGTGCCATATATGGGGCTGGCCTGGTGGTGTAGTGGTTAAGTTCCTGTGCTCCACTTTGGCGGCCTGGGGTTTGCAGGTTCAGATCTGGGCGCAGACCTACACACCGCTGATCAAGCCATGCTGTGGTGGTGTCCCGCATAAAAAATAGAGGAAGATTGGCACAGATGTCAGCTCAGGGACAATCTTCTTCAAGCCAAAAAGAGGAAGATTGGCAACAGATGTTAGCTCAGGGCCACTCTTCCTCACTAAAAAAAAAAAAAAGAGTTGCATATACTCTTTACCCAGATTCCCCAAATAGTAACATCTTATAGAACCATAGTACAATGATCAAAACCAGGAAATTGCCCTAAAGTAATTTTGATTGATGGTCTGCTCTGACTTGCACTGTGCTTGTGGTTGCCATCTCTGTTGATCTTCGCAAATTTGGTGGCAGGTGTTTTATTTGAATGGACAGATGAGAAAAGTGTTTCCCATATCACCTATTTATACCTTTGCAAATGAGTTAAACCTTTTATTTTGATGATTGAAGAAAATGCCATTAGTTAAAGTGAAGGTGGTTCTTGATAAATCATTTCTCCACATTTCCACATGTATACTAATAAAATGAAATATATATGACAAACTTTGTATTGATTTTAAAATTCCTTTGTACATTGTAGTTTTCCCAGATAATTTCTTTTTGCTTCTAATTGTTTTAACCTAAGTAAGGCAGTAAGGCTTTAGAACTATAAATGACAGTAATCAAATTGCTTTATTAAAGAAATGCTTCATCTGCAGTGTATGTTAATCGATCTTTCAAGACCGCTGTGGTCAAACAGTGCTTTCTCTTAAACTTTTCAGTACCTCCATTTATCTATAAAAATGCTTCTGGAAATAACGTTCTTTACAATTACAGTTTTGAAAATGTTCCCTTTGTGCAAAACAACTGATTGTCAGATCAGTTGTAAGATCTGTATTCTTTCCCTGGCAGTCTTTCTTAGATGAGGATGACGTTTTCTGTGTCTTATCTCTGGACTCGATAGTAACTGATGAACCCAATCCATGATAGACTTTTTTGGGGACATCTCAGTTACTTATAGCCTCATGTA